TAGTCCTAGTTGCCTCATTGCAATGCTTTTTAAATGCTAAGCAATTGCTGTTTTAATTTGCCCTAAGAGCTATGCTTGTTTTTCTAGAGTATTCTGAGCACATAAATGCAGATGCTTGGCACATCCCAATTTTTACTGTAAAAGGCTTATTCACCCATCTGTCCATTGTATTACACTGTGCATAACACAAGAGCATGCAAGAACTTATAAATGCATTAGAATGATGCATGCTCAGAAAAGTATATTTGTGCTGTTTAAGTGAGAGGGAATTCTTTAAGCAAATCACTAGTAGAGATATCTTCATCCAATTCTTGCTTTTGTGATTCCTCAGTGTGCAGATCAGATCAGCAAGTTACTCAGAATAGCTTGACCAGAATGTCCTGCATTTGCTGCTGACAAATACTGGACTGCACAGTGGAAAACTTTTAGCTGGTGCCAAAGACAGATTGGACAATGGAATGGGGGAGGCTTTTGGATATTAGCTGATTAAAAAAGGAAAATCCAGCATCATTGGCCCTGTTTCCTCATCATTGATCAATTGGCTTTCTGCAGAGGGTGGAATCTCAGATTGCTTATGCTTGCATCTTCTTTATACTTAAAACATATTCAAAATCATTTGTGCAGAATGATACCTTGTCTAAGGGGGATGTTAACAGTACAGTCCTATGTCTCTATTCAAACTGAATACCAACTATCAACTTAGCTTAGTATTTGCATGTATCTGCTCTGGACAACATTGTCTAGCCTCATCACATTACAATGCTGAGGCTGATTGGGGTAGCTTAAAGTTATAAGGAAGATAGCAGTAAGATATTAGATTTTTTTTGGTCTAATTTCTCCCAGGGGGAGATAATTCCAGAAATGTTTAAGCCCATGATAAACTTATCACACTTATAGTGTATTTCATAATTTTTCATCAAATTCCAGCATGTGTGTGACCTTTATTTGATAAATTGGTGCTGAATTTTAACAGTGAGTTTCTTGGGGAAATTGTGGGAGAAGCTGGGAAGGGTGCTCTAAGGACAATAAAAAATGCTTAGGGCAAAGAAAGAGAGAACAGCTGTGTTTGCATGGATGTTTATCCATGGTTTTTTCATTTAACCCAATTTTCCAAGCTCTAAGCACATGAGTTGGATTACCCAACATGCAAGATTTTTAAAAATGTGATTGGCTAACTTGTGTCTCAAAGTGTCATTTAAACATAATAAAGCATGTGACATATACAGTAACTGCAAAAAGAATATCAGTTCAAAGAACGAAGGACTCTGCACAGAAGCATAATTTATTTAGAATTTTCTACTTCGTTAGTAATTTTTCTTGCTTTATAATTTAAAAAGTTTAGAAAATTGATTATGGTTCTGAGGGCAAGGTAGGGAAAGCAAAGAAATATTTCTTTTTCCTGTGTTTCTTTTGACATTTATACAATCTCTCATTTGGTTGAATAAATAACTGGAAATCATTGTTTTGCTTGAAATCTTAAATATGAATAAATTTGCTTTTTTAAAAAAAAATTACTGAATTGATAGTAGCTTTAAATATAGGATCCTTCAGATCTAGTAAAACACTCAACCACTACACTGCACACTCTCTGAACTTTTTGAAGTTGCATAATTTTCCTCTTCCAAGCACCTCCCACTTCCTACTTTTCATATCCCCTCTGTAAATGTTGTCAATGATGTTTTATTTCATTTTTATTATGGTTACTCACACAGTCAGCTAGATGTTTAGACTAAATATTGCTTTTTTTATCTACCTGGGATAAGCAGATGTGGATGTTTGATGATGTTAAAGGAATTATTACAGGATGTTAGCTGTTCCAAGTAAAGCTCCCTCTTGCTATTGACTGATGGTAATTTTGTCAACTCTGTGGTATTCCAGTAGTGCTCCAGTTGTTTAGTGATTTTACCCAAGGAGGCTATTATTACTGGTACTATCTTTGCCTTTTTTGCCACAGTAATTTTATTTCTATTTGCAGGTATTTGTATTTTGTTATCTTCTGTTCTTTTTCTTCTGTTCTGCTGTCCCCAGGCACTCCTGTCTACTATTCAGACTTTGTCTTTCTTTTTAACAATTATTAAATCTGGGATATTACGTGGCAAACGCCTGTCAGTTTGAATTCTAAAATCCCAGAGCATGTTAGCTTTTTTATTTTCTATGACTTTCTCTATTTTATGGTCCCACCAGCTCTTATTTGCAGGCAAATGGTATTTATTGCAGAACTTCCAATGCACCATTGTTGCTACTTACTTTATCATGCTGTTGTTTGTAGTCAATCTGTGCAATCTTCTTGCAGCAGCTAACCAGATGATCAGCTTTTTTACAGAGGTGGCATTTTTGTCTGTTGCTTTCTTTTCAATTCTGCCTTTATATGACCAAGCCTTATGAACATATGCCAGGTTCATAAGGCTTGGTCTTGTGCAGCCACAATTAGCCCCTCTGCCTCTTTCTTATTATTATTAAATGTATTTGCCACCATCTAGGGTTCAAGGCAATTCTGAGCAACTTAAGGTATTGTAAGGTCCCAATATATTCCTGAGTCACCAGAATGCCAAAGAGAGAGACTCAAGATGAGGCTTGCAAAAAAAAAAAAGTAGATTTTATTTATGGCCAAAAACAAAATACTGGGTGGGACTATATCCAGAACATACAGATACAATGCATGCGAGGAGATAGCCACACTTGTGGAAGGTATGGCGTCCTTTTATACCCTCAGAGACATCAGTTTAGTACCCAATTCTGGCCCCCCTAGTTTAGGTTCGAGTATTCGTTGTTGTCCTGCAAAGGAATAAAAACTTCCCAATTAGTCTTATCTCGTCCTTGAGCATTCCTTTGTTTTTCTCAATTGGCCATTTGGCCTCCTGGTTCTGCAAGGAATGAGCTTATACAGATCAAAGGCATAAATTAGGGCTGAGGTGTAAATTATCTCTTGGTTGATGTCTGCAGTTCCAACTAAGATACCTATCATGCTCTTAGATGGCACAAGAAAAACAGGAAGAAGATTGATATGGGTTCAGGTCAAATGGCAGGGACATATGTTTGACAAATATCAGATAATAACAATATGTTTGTAGCAAAATATAAAGGAATAATATATGTGTAATAAGATATGTGATACAACTACAAAGACACAATATATGTGTTACAGGAACCTAATGGTTACAGAATAACAAGTTTTTACTAAATCTAGTATATCAGTATTTTATATTCTATCCTTATTATTGTTTCCCTACAGTATGATAAAATATACAGATATCAAAGCAATTACAAATGTGAAAACAGATTAGAATTACAAAAAATTTAAATAAACTAAAAAAGCATGGGTTTGGAGCGGGGAAATGGGTCATGTTCTCTGTTACTGCATCAACGACCTCCAACAAACAGTTTCTTCTTCAGGACACCAAGCCAACCTATATAGCCAAGTTTTAAGCTTTTCCTGAAGGTTAAAGGAGGTGAGGGGGGTTTCTCCTGTGGCAAGATGCTCCAAGATGCCGCATGGGCATCTTCTCCTAGATTCCATCAGCCAAAATTCCTTGGCTGATGAAATGGCTTAGGACCTGGCTACTTACGGGACCGCCTACTACCACAAACAGCCTCCCACCGGCCGGTACGCTCTCATAGAGAGGGGCTCCTCCAGGTGCCGTCAGCCAAACAATGTCGACTGGCGGCCCCTAGGGGGAGGGCCTTCTCTGTGGGGGCACCTACTATCTGGAACAAGCTCCCCCTGGAGATACGGAGGATCCCGGATCTGCGCACTTTCCACCGTGCTTTGAAGGCACTCCTATTCCAGCAGGCTGGCCTGGCCTAATTTTTTCCCCTTCTTTTAAATTTATAAACTCAAATTTTAATTCGTTTTAAATTATTGGGAGTTTTAAATTGTCTAGGGCAAAAATTATTTAATTGGGTTTTAATTATGTCTTAACTTTTGTATTTATGTGTTTTATTTCGTGCCTGTTCACCGCCCTGAGTCCTTCGGGAGTAGGGCGGTATACAAATTTAATAAAATGTAAAATGTAAATGTAAAAATGCACAGTAAGTCCATTCTGCCAGCACAAGGCTGGTAGGCCAGTTCCATTGTAGAAGGATGGTTTCACATATATCTTGGACTCATGTCATAGAGGGCTATGAAGATAATAACCAACAACCTGAATTGCAACTGGAAGCAGATCTGCAGTCAGTGTAGCTTGCATGACAGTGGTATTACATGTGCCATCCTAAGGGCCTCCAAAACTGTCCACATTGCTGCAGTCTGGGCCAATTATAGCTTCTGAATACTTTCCAAGAATAGCCCTAGGTACAACACATTGCAATAATCCAACCAGGAGATGACCAGGGTGTGAATGAGTTCAGGGCCTCATGATTCAGGGCATAGTTGGCACTGAAAAGGGCATAAAGTTGTGCAAAAGCTCTTCTAGCCACAACTGCCACCTGCTTTTGAGCAGGAGTCATGAATCTAGGACGGGTGGGCAAATGTGGCCCTTTTACAACCTGTGGAATTCCTGAGACAGTTGTAAAAGGGCCACATTTGCTCACCCCTGATCTAGGAGAACCCACAAGTTGAGCACCAGGTCTGTCTGACATATTGCAATCCCATCCAAAACTAGGTGATAAGCCTTTGGATTCTGAGGCTCTGTATACCCACAGTCACTCCATCTTACCAGGTCCCAAAGTCTCTACAGCCTTTTTAGTAAAATAGCTACCAGTGTATCTCTTTCAAGAAAAATAATGTCTGTTCTTCCGTTTTTCTGAGAATTAAAAAGGCAGTGCTGGGGCTGATATTTTCCATACAATGGAGGAGGTAGCAAAGTGATAAAATAATACCTTGAAGTAAATCCTCCATAATTTCAAAGATTGTAATACTAATAACTATAAGTAAAGTTTCTGTTTCTTTTTTTCTTCATGTTTGCAGTTGAACTCCTACCACTATTATCCGTTGTTTGGATGTTTGTAAATAATTACCAAGTTAACACCTGCAGCATGCTAAGTTCATCATCTTAATGATTCAAAAGCTGGAACAACATTTATTGGAAAACAAGTAAGTTTCCTTTGTGGAAACAGGTTATTTCTTCCCATGAGCTTTGTTTCCCTACAGACTATTATTAATAACATCTTAATATTATAGTTATTGCTGACTATAATACCTGTCATCATTACTATTACAGTATATATTAGTGCTATGGCTGGATGACTTTAGAAGTTGCTACAAGTTGCTAATGGAGAAATCACTAGCCTAAATTCATATCATGATTACCTATTACAGAGTGTGATGTTCATGGTATTTTTTACATGTCTTGACCTTTTATCTATAAAGCAAAACAACATATAGTTCAGGTAGCACTAAGGTTGGGTGAAATGAGGGAGTTTTAATTCCATTGGTAGCCATCCTCTGAAGAATGGCTTGGATTATATTTCTGGACAATAAGGATTCTGGGTCAGATAACCTCATTTGGGTAGACTGATTTTTTTTTATACCAAAACTAGCAACAGACAATGACAAGACTGGCTATTCCTCAGAATAAACAGAGATACCAGCACCTTGACAATCCTGCCATTTGTATTTTTCAGTGTCCCAAATGAAGAAGAATTCATTTCAATGTTGCCATTCTGCAATCTTTTACAAGAATTGAATGAAGAGGCTGCATCAGTCTCCCTGGTTCCTTTATAAGGTCAGAACTCCTATCACTGGTAACTTAACCTGCCTTCTTATGGTACTGCAAAAAGTAGTTCTGCAAAAGCATGAAAACAGATGGTTATTTCTTCAGTTAACATGAGAAAATAATAGGATTTATATATTGTTATCAATACAGTTGCTACAATTAAATGTTTATGTAGAAATTACAAGACAAAATAAGAAAGACAGGTAGAGAAGGAATATTGTGCTGTGCTCTTTTTGGGCAATCTGGTTCTGTATTCGGTCTGTTCTCATCAGGATGTGAGAGGGATAAGGAGACTGGAGCTGCTTCCTAGACAGTTCATAACAATAGGGAAAAAATACATTGACAGCACCTAATTATTAAACAGCACTTCTTTGTCTTTTATTAAAGCAGGAAGTTCTTTTTCAGATTTACACGAGAGCCTGAACAATTTAGTTTCTGCTTGAGGAAATTACCTCATTAAATTTAGTGTGATTATTATTATTTTTTTTATTGTAAAAGTTTTACAATTACATTTTCACCCCATTTTCGCCCCCCTAACCCACCCCGAACTCCCTAACCCACCCTCCCTAACCCCCCCTAACCCTCCCCTCCCCCCCGGACTTCCATAGAGTATACCCCATCATTATCCCCTTTATATAAAAAAAACCTTGAGCTTTAAACCCCCCCAACCCCCATATCATTTTTCATCTTCACATAGTTCAAATATTTCTATCTTAATATAATATAATACTATCAATAAAAAGCTATTTGATACTTCCTAGTTTGATATTTGTTCTGCACATAATCTATCCATTTTTTCCATTCACATTCATAAGTCTCTTGTGAGCGGTCTTTTAAATATGCTGAAATCTTCGCCATCTCAGCGAAACTGGCCATCTTCAAAATCCATTCTTGAACGGTAGGCAAAGCTTCATTTTTCCAATATTTACCTATCAACAATCTCGCTGCTGTAATCATATACAAAATCAACTTTGTTTCGTCCACTGTAAAACCCTTAGCTATACCCAATAGAAACAATTGTGGAGAAAATTGAATTTTTTTCTTCAAAACATTCTGCATGACCCACCAAATTTTTATCCAAAAAGCCTTAACTTTCTTACAGGTCCACCAAATATGATAATATGTAGCATCTGTACAATCACACCTCCAACATTTTGGTTGAACATTAGGGTACATACACGACAGTTTCTTAGGGTCTAGATGCCATCTATAAAACATTTTGTAAAAATTTTCCCTCAAATTCTGCGACTGTGTAAATTTAACATTCTGAACCCAAATTTTTTCCCATGTTTCCAACATCACTGGTTCTTCAAAATTTTGTGCCCACTTAATCATACAGTCTTTAACTAATTCAGTTTCTGAGTCCCTTTCTAACAAAACATTATATAATCTTTTAATATGCATTGGACCTTTCTCTTTTATATGTCTAACCAGTTCTTCCTCATGCAACATAATACCAATTTTTTGGTCCTCTTTCCATCTCAATTGTAATTGATTATATTGAAACCAAGTTAAATTAATCCCTTCATCCAACAGTGTCTGTAATGTCTTCAACTGCCATCTGCCCGCATCTGTAAAAAGAACCTCTTTGTATAAAACCCCCCCGAGTGACATTATATTTGTATTCCACATAATATGACCAAGATCCAGCCATAGCGGTATTTTATAATCCCATTTGAATCGGTGCTTCTTCCAAACTCTCATCAAAGAATCTCTAAGTATATGGCTTTTGAATACTTTATCCACTTTGTTATCATAGAATAAATAAGCATGCCATCCAAATTCAAGATCAAAACTTTCTATATTCAGTATTCCAGTCTTTTTCCTTCCAAACCAATCACTTGCTAAAGTCAAAGCTGCTGCTTCATAATATAACTGTAGGTTTGGAAGTTTAAGACCTCCCCTTTCTGGAACATCTTGCATGATTTTCAGTTTCACTCTCGGTTTTTTCTCGTTCCAGACAAACTTATTCACTCCAGTTTGCCAGACTTTCAGTTGTTTATCACTTTTAAGCACCGGAATCATTTGAAACAAAAAAAGAAATCTTGGCAAAATGTTCATCTTAACTGCTGCTATTCTCCCAAGTAAAGACAGCTGCAGTTTTTTCCACATCTCCATATCTTTCTGTACAGCTCGCCACAGTACTTCATAGTTATTTTGAAACAATTTAATATTTGATTCTGCAACCTGAACTCCTAGATATTTAACCTTTGGTACAATCTCAAAACCTGCCTTGTTTTCAAATTCATGTCGTCGATCTTGTGTCATATTTTTAACTATCATCTTAGGTTTTTTCTGATTCAATCTAAAACCTGATACTGTACCATAATCTTGTATAATGTCTTTCATCTGGATTATTGATTCCATCGGCTGTGTTAGGGTAACAACCAGATCATCTGCAAATGCCCTTATTCTGTAATCCTCTTGCCTTATCACTATACCTTTCAAGTTATTCGAATCCCGTATTGTGTTCAACAAGACTTCTAGTGTTAAAATAAATAACAATGGGGATAACGGACAACCTTGTCTGGTCCCTTTTTCAATATTGAACTCTGATGTCAAACTTCCATTAATAATAATCTGTGCCTTTTGTTCTTGATAAATTGCTGAGACCGCCTGTATAAATTGGTCTCCAAATCCCATTTTTCTTAAAGTCTTTAGTAGAAAGTTCCAATCCACTCTATCAAAGGCCTTCTCCGCATCCAAGAAAACCAGCACTGCAGAGATCTGTTTATTCTTCTCAAGATATTCCAATAAATCTATAACTTGCCTTACATTGTCCTTCATGTATCTACCCTCTATAAATCCCGCTTGGTCATCGTGAATCACCTCTTGGATTACTGGCATCAATCTGTTGGCTAATACTTTTGCATAAATTTTATAGTCATTATTTAAAAGAGATATTGGTCTATAATTTTCCGGTTTTTTAGGACCCACTTGTTCTTTTGGTATCAAAGTAATATATGCTGATTTCCATGATGGGGGTATTTTACCCCCTTGTTGTATATTGCAAAATAAGTCTCTAAGTTGTTCCACCATTTCTGCTTGTAAAGTTTTATAATACACTGCAGTCAATCCATCTGTTCCAGGAGCTTTAGCTGTTTTCAATTGTTTAATTGCTGCGATTATTTCCTCAACTGTTATAGGATAGTTCATTCTTTCTTTTTGTTGGCTAGTAATTTTTGAGACTCTTTTCTCTTCTAGATATTTTTCTATAAGTCCATTCTGTATATCATCTTTAGCATATAATTTAGTGTAGTAGTCTACAAAGACTTCTTTAATCAGTTTTTGTTGAGAAATTTCTTTCCCTCCAATATCAATACTCTCAATAGTCCGTATACTCTGCTTCTTCCTTAAGGTGTAGGCCAACCATCTTCCCGGTTTATTAGCATTACAAAACGTATTATGCTTCGCATATTGTAAGTTTGTTGCAGCTTGCTCTGCCAAGAGCATTTGAAATTGATCTTTCAAAAGTTTTGTAGCACCAGATATTCTTTCATCTGTTGGGTTTTTAATGAGTAGCTGTTCCTTATTCTTTATTTCTACTTCCAATTCGAGTCTTTTCTTTTGTCGATTCTGTTTGTGTTTAGAATTCATATAAATGAGTACCCCTCTCATATACGCTTTACTCGCATCCCATACAATTTCAATTGGGGTGCCCTTATTCAAGTTCATCTCAAAAAATTCTTTCATCTGTTTTTTAAGTTCTGTTATATTTTTTTCATATCTAAACAAATTTTCATTTAATCTCCATGACCTTCTCTCAGTTTTTCCCATCTCAATTTCTATCCATACAGAACTATGATCAGTTAAAGTTCTTGGAAATATCTTTGTTCTTTTTGTTTTAACAAGTAAATCATCTGATAACAAGATAAAGTCAATCCTGGAAAAAGATCTATGTCTATCAGAGAAAAAAGTATAATCCAATTCTTTTGGGTTATAAATTCTCCAAATATCTTTTAATTCCAAATCTTCTTTCATATCAAAAAAAGTCTGTGGTAGTCTGATCCTTACTTTCGCCAAACTCTTTTTATCTAGTTTAGAATCAATTACTCCATTCCAATCTCCCATTATTAAAATAGATCTGTAATCCCATTGCAATATTTTATTATGTAAAGTCTTATAAAAATGATCCTGTTGTTGGTTCGGAGCATAAATTCCAATCAAAAGAATTTGGCCGTTTGCTGTATGCAATTCAATTGCAATAAACCTACCACCTTCATCTGCTTCTATAATTTTAGCAAACAATCTTTTATTTACATAAATAACCACACCATTCTTTTTTTCCGAGGTTGAAGCTATAAAATGTGTTCCTAATTTAGAGTTTATCAGGTATTTGTGATCTTGAGTTCGAATATGAGTTTCTTGTAGACAAATTATGTCATTATTAAATTGTCTCAGATATGTAAATAACTTCTTCCTTTTTTGTGGTGAATTTAATCCGTTAACATTCCAAGATAAGAGCCTAATTGTCACCTTGACCTTTCTGAAGCGATGAGCTGCCTTGCCTCGCTTCTTCTGAGGTCTTCGGCCTTGCTCCCCCCATAGCTTCACTTTGTGTGGTGCTTTTAGCTCCCCTTTTATGTTGACTTTCTTCTTGTTGTTTTTCTTTTATTTGCTTGGAGACTGCACGAGTTATACGCTGGTCCTTAACTTCAGGCATCCAAGCTAGATCCAAAGCAGCATCTCTTGTTGACAAAATTGGTGAAGATTCTAGCAGGGATTCCTCCATAAGGCCTCCTCCTCCTACAGCTCCCTGCATTTCCACTAATTCCGTCTGCTTGGACTGTTGTTCCCTCTCATGCTGAAATTGCTTTTCCTTATCACTTTTTATCTCCAACATTGTAGATGTACGTGGGGATGATGATCTTTCTTTAAGAATATTATAGTAAAAATATTCCGCCTTCTGAAAAGTATTCAATCGGTGTCCCTCTCCATTATATTTCAGAATTATACCAGTTGGGGCATCCCACCGGAATGGTATTTCTTGCTTTTGCAATTCATTCACTAGAAACCTATATTCTTTTCGATCTTTTAACATCTTAGGTGGTAATTCCTTGTAGACTCCAATTTGAGCTCCCTCCACTTGCACAGAGGAAAGAAAGGATCTTTGCAAAATATCATTTCTTATTCTTCTATCAGTAAAATATATCACCACATCTCTGGGTAATTTTCTTTGTCTAGCCACCCATGAATTTACTCTATAAATTTTATCTATTTTATAGACCACATCTGCTGGATCAATTTTTAACAATACAGCCAAGGCATCAGAACAAATCTGTCTCAAATCTTGCCTATCATTCTCTTTTATTCCTCGAAGCCTAATAGCGAATTCCATGGATCGAAACTGTATCATTGTAATTTCATTTTCAACTCTCTGCACTTTATTATCCACATCAACAATTTTAGAATCAGTATCCTTCATTTTAACATTAACTTCTGATTTAAATTCTTCCAGTTTGGAATCCACTTTAGTAATGGTTTCTGCCAAATCAGAAACCACATTTGACAATTTGTCAGACACCTTGTCATAATTCTCTTTCATTGCCTCTTTAAATTCATTAATTTCTTTCTTCATTTCCTGTTGTGATTTTTGAAATTTATCATCCAGAGCCTGGGTAATAAAGTCCTTCAAACTTTGAACATCAAAGTCCTTTCCCTCACCCTGCTGGCTGGGAGGGGGCTGCTGTTCCGGTTTATGAGTGGGAGATCCCTCCCCTGCAGCCTTTCCTTCCTGTTTCTTTGAAGCCATTCTGCCACGTAAATTAACTTTTCTGAAAAAAGGAAGTCTTTTTTCCTTTGCACCTCCACAAAGTCCTTTGAAAAAGTCCCCCAGATTTAATCAAATTAGAAATTGAATAAGCTGAAGCAAGCTCAGGTTTATTTTAAAAGGAATTTTTTCTTCCACTCTTCTCTGTTCGCTTGCTACAAGCAGTGCTACAATGTAGCTTATTGAAATAACTTTGCAAGATCACTCTCCCTTTCAGCTCGTTAACGCTGGAACGGCGCCATTTTTTTCAAGCCGTTTCCGCTCACTCTAGCCTTTTCCCAAATCAGAAGTTCAAAAACAAAGAAATACTTGCAGTTTCTTGGTTTAGGGGTTGAGGTTGTTTTATAGCAAAGTTATTTTTCCATCAATTTAAATGTTTGCTGCAGCCGGCTTGCTCTGACAGGCAGAGTCGTCCCACGCCGTCCGGAGTCTCCGCAAGTTGAAAGGGAGCCGCGCCCATTTCCTCCCCAGTAGCAGACTTCTGGGGGTTCACAGTGTGAACTGTGTGATTATTAAAGCAGCTTCCATTTTAAAAAAACTTGTGTGCAAGTTAGTCTGGCCATTTTAATGAAAAGCAGAGAGGCATTATATTCACATTATATGCAAATTCTGCAGCACAATGACATTGTTATTATACAATATTTTAATCCAGAGATTTACAATGGTGATATACTGTACCACTAGGGCTCCTATGCAAGTAATTATTGGGATCCAACTATTTTTCAGCTGCCTCTGGTGGCATTTGGGGAACATATAGGATCAGTAATCAACATTCAGAATTTAGAATATCAATTTTTCAATTTCTTGATAACACTCAATTCTTTCTGGGGTCCAAAATAAAAAAAGGTACAGCTTGCAAATGGTTTGGCTATATGAAGTAATCTAAGCTTTTCCTGAAGCACTATAATAATAGACATTTCAATGGGCCTTGTTCACATTCTATCCACATGTTCTTATATATAAGATATGCCCCCCGTCAACATGGCCATATTGAAATTAAGATGGAGGATGATATATGATTCACTATGAATGTTTTTTACAATTCAACATAACTTTTGTCATCACCTTAGTGTTTCCAGATAGGTGACTCCTAATATTACTGCTCAAAAGGCATTAAGCAATGTTTGTTGCCTTTACGCTATAACAATTGTATTAAATAAGGGGGAAAGGGGAAGAAGTTATGAGGAAATTGAAGGAGTTTTTTAAATAGAGGTACTCAAAAAATACTTTGGATTTTTAAGGGAATAGATTTGTAAACCTATGAGATTGGGCTCCTCCAGGGTACCAACCTCTTTAGCATTTGTTCTTCCTCTGATCAAAAACTGATATTTTTAAAAAGAGAATAGATATTGGAATAAATCTATATTAAATATGCTTGCACTGGAGAAATTTATGGAATAATGTCTGGAAAAGCTGCATTCAGTAGGACTACAAAATAACGAGAGTGCTAGGTAAGCTATAAGAGATTTAAAGTTCCTAAGTGCTCTGTTCTTTCCCCCCCACCCCACCCCACCCCACCCCACCCCACACAACACACTTATATTCTAATTTTCCCATTTTTCCCCTTTCTCCTCCCCTATCTAGCCAACCATCAAATATGCTGTTTTACCTACTTACACTTAAAAGCTCCATATATTAGAGAAAATAGTGAATGAAAATGAATATGGGCACATAAATGTGTGTCTATGTATTACACACACACATACACACATACACACATTCACTATATAGATCGGGGGAAGGAGACAGTATCTTGCTCTACCAACAACATAACACATTACAGCTGATCTGAATGTTTATAATCATTTGTATTTGTGATAAAATTTTGTGAATGACACAAGCAACTGAAAGATAAAAACCTCTTCCATAAGTACATCCCATGTCAGTTTAGTAAGACCAATAATCCTTTCTGTGCTGCATTTTAAAGGAAAATCTGATGTGGGTGGCTGAGACTTTTTGCTGCTTTCTATGTCCTTATTTGCATCTTGAATTCAATGGAATCTCTAAACTGGTTTGTTTAGAGCCGTGATGGCGAACCTATGGCACACAGAGCCATATCGCCTGGCACGTGTGGTGTCGCCTGTTCCTCATCCAGGTTTCTGGCATGCATGCGCATGTAACGATCAGCTGTTCTTTGTGTGTGGCAGTGCCAGAAACCGGAAAAGCTGGTCTTCCGTTTTCCGGCGTGACCATGCATGCCGGCCAGCTGATCGGCATATGCGCATATGTGGAAACCGGAATACCTTATCTGGTGTGCGCATGCCTCCTGGGCAGCTCCTCTTCCTGGTCATGGCCCTGGCAAACGCATGTGAAGTGCTCCCTTTTCGGCACTTGGTGCCCCGTGTGCATGCTCCCTTCACCATCACTGGTTTAGAGAATTGCTCTTGCACAATGGAATGATGGACTTCATGATACTTGTCTAAGGCATACAGAGGTCATATCAGAGAAAGACCCATGGTTTTGTTATGCTTTTTGAACACTCAGTCAATGAATAGCATCTTTGAATATTGAATAATTCTGTTATTTTGTGTACTGTAATAGTATCTTTGCTGTTTTTCTTTGCCAAGAGCTCAAAATAACAGTTTATTAACATTGGTAAAGCCAGGAATTGGCATTAGGTCAAAAAAGGATAAGGGAATTACTAGCGGAGATAAACTAAAAGTTGTTAACTTTGAAAATATTCCTTTTTTTTTGCCTCTGATATAACACATGAGAGAACATTGCCCAAGACATTTCTGGTGCCTAGTAAGAAAGATGTGTATCAGGGGTGGGTGGGAGAGAGGAGGAAGGAGGGAGGGAGACAGAGGGGGGGGAGGCACCACCTTTTTGAATGCATAATGCACATACTTCTGTTGTTAATACATAACAAATCAGTATAATTAATAGCTTTGAACCTGAGATGACAATAAACAAATCATTGTGAAACTAAACATTATAAAGACTGACAAGGAGCAGAGATAAAGATGTAATGCTTTAATAGAAAAAGCACTGATAAAACATTCTTGTAAAGTACAGCACAATTTTTAAAAATCCCAGATGAACTTTAAAAGCCGGTTTGGCAAGATTTTGGCAAATTCATCTTCAGTGAGAGAAAAGATAACTGTGGAAAACACCAATCAGCAGATGCTTGTGATATCTCTAGCAAACCTTCCCACTTCATCTTCTGCTAAATACATTTTATAAGGTGTTGAAAGAAATGTAATTTAATTTCATATTTATCTGATGATTGAAACAAGTATTCTGTTTCTGGGATCTCAATATTGTCTTTGATTTTAAATGGAAATTGGTTCCATTCAAAAAGGTAAAGATTGAATCTGAAGAGGGAAGAATCTTGATCCAGCTGACAAAATAAGTGGTGGGGGTGGGGGTGGAAGCTTTATTAGGCCTGTTCACACCAACATTGTATATTTAAGAAATTATATACATGATGGCTTGTTTAGATCTGGTTAGTTTCCCATAAATCTCTCCGGTATTTCTTTTTTGTTTTCCTGCATATTGGGCAATACCTTGTTTTTTGCCATGGATATAACACATGACAGAACATTGCCTAAGACATTTCTGGTGCTTAGTAATAAAGATGTGTAAAAGAGAGATGGTGGGAGGGAGGGAGGAAGGGAGGGAGGGAGAGACAGACAGACAGATGGGGGAGAATTTAGGAAAGTATCCATTCCACAGATACTATAAATGTATACTGATAAGGCTTAAATTGTACTTGCCAACATTTACTAATTTTAACTCTTTTTGGTAATAATTTTTGTCTTTATTTGAATTCAAATTTTTGGTATGGTTTAAACTGCTACTCGATACCCTGAATGATGTGAGGCGCATATAAATTTTTTATCTAAATAAAACTTATTTTATACAAATCACAACTTATTTTATACAGCCAAACATAAATATTGTAAGCCAATTTAAAACCCAGATTACCATTCAGATTTCTGACAGACTTCTGACAGACTTTTTCCTTGATTGACTGATTTCGTTGGGGTAACTTCTTCCTTGAGATAGAGGGGAAAACAAAAAATATTCAACTGGTTCTTAAAAACAAACTATTCCTCTGAAGTATGCAATCATATGAATGAAAGATCTTTAAACATTTCAAAGGCAGGCTGGGAAAAATATAAATATTTGAATATGACATTCCCCTAGTTGGGAAATAAAACACAATTTTCAATAACCATTAAAGATGCCAACATTTTGCAAGAAATAAATCTCAAAATGCTATTTGCTTGTAAACTGTCAACATTCTTTCCCTGTCTGAAATTATGGCAGGATTCTCTTCCATCTCCATTCATTAAAGCATCTCAAAGCAAAACAGAATTTATAAATAAAACCTACACACTTTTCAATACACATTGTATTCATTTTTTATCAAAATAGCCAGCTAACTATATCACTATGATTTATTTAGCATGTTCTGACTGTTTTGAGGCTTCAAAAATGGATCTAAAAACCATCTAATATTCAAGGATTAATCACTTTGACTATTTGGCTAGAGACTTAACATAGCTTCACCAACCTGGTATGCGTCAGATGTGGTGGACTATAAATTCAAGTTGGGGAGATGTGTGGTTCTTCATGATAGACGTTCTATGAATGGGCAGTCTTCTTTGGTGTAGCTGTTTAGCAGGAAAATGCCATAGATACTAAGCAAGCTGCAGAAGATTGGATTTCTCTTCAGTAGCTAATATACCAAATTAAAATTTCGTATGCTTAGGAAAATTAAGATTCTGTACTTAATAGTATTGGTACATTGATTTTAAAGTAGTGGCAGATACATAAAAGAAAAAATCGCTTGCACTTCTAAGGATTGTGCAAAACAGATGTTGCTTATTTGTCCATACCTTTGCCCTCTTGCTTAAGGCTATCCCATTTCAGCCTCTCACAGTCTTTAGATGGCTAAAATTTATTTATTTAATACAGCCATATCTCATTTTTTACCTAACACTTAGCTCGATCCAAACATATTGAGTTTTGGCAAGATTGCTATATAATCTTTCAACTGAAAACCCTAAACCCCACCTATTGGGACCCAGGCTAAATTCCAAAATTTGAATAGAGGGAAGCCAGCCCACTTGATGTAGACCAAGGAGAGAGAGAGAGTACTTTGATTATAATCTTGAGCCATTCCCTTTCCCACCAATCCTGCTCAAAATGTCTTCTATTGACATGCATCTTTTCAATATTGTTAGATCGGCGCAGGGAAAGAAAGACGCGACCAGCAGTGGTTCCTTCAGAACCTTTATTCAGCTCAGAAATAGAATGAGCGGCTGTGCTGCCGGGGCTCTTTTTATACGCTCCGGCAGGCTCAGCCGCCAAATGACAGCTGTTTAAATCTCCCGCCGGTGGATCAGCCAATCCCCCGGCAGATGTCCTTATAAGGACATAACACTCCTCCCCTCCTAGTCCGAAAAACGTCCATCACAGTCAATCAGCGATACGTAGTCATGCAGGTAGGCGGGACACCTGGTGGTTCTGGATGACCTGCGCAGTTCACACTGAGCTTTGCCCCCGACCTGGGCAGGCAGGGCTTCTGTCCTCTCCGGCCCCCGATCCGGGGTGGACCTGAGTCCGGCCGTCAAGTGTGCGGGCCCTGTCCCCGCACCTCCGGCCGCAACATCTGGAGTTGCCCGCTGGTGTCTCCGGTCCTTTCCCTGACCGGAAACTCTGGAACCTCGCAGCTGGACATCACTGACGCTCGGTGGATGCCGACTGATGTCCGGTAAATCCATTGGATTTTCTTTTAATTTCTGCTGATGTTGGGGTCGCTGCTGCTTCTGTTGTTGTTGTTGGGGTTTTTTTTTTTGGTTTTTTTTTTTTATTGAACAAGTTTTACAAATACAAATTTTTCCATTTCCCCCCCTTTCCCTCCCTAACCCTCCCTAGCCCTCCCCTCCTCCCAAGACTTCCGCAAGGTGAAATCCAAATCCACATCATATTATATCATACTTTACCACCCTTCTAATCTCCCCCTGTGTACAATACATTTCTACATAACATTGAACTATTCTGCCCCCTATATACTGTACATTTCTACACAACATTCAACTAAAAGCTATCTGATACTTCCTAGTTTGGTATTTATTCTGCACATAATCTATCCATTTCTTCCACTCCCATGCATAAGTCTCTTGAGTCCGGTCTTTTAAGTCTGCTGATATCTTCGCCATTTCTGCAAAACTGGCCACCTTCAAAGTCCATTCTTCAATAGTAGGCAAAACATCCCTTTTCCAATATTGACCAATCACTAACCTAGCTGCTGTCACCATATACAATATCAATTTTGTTTCATCCATTGAAAAACCCTTAACTATACCCAATAAAAACAATTGAGAAGAAAATTGGAGTTTTTTCCTCAGAACATTTTGCATGACCCACCAAATTTTTATCCAGAAAGCCTTCACTTTCTTGCAAGTCCACCATATATGATAATATGTAGCATCCAAACAATCACATCTCCAACATTTTGGTTGAACATTAGGATACATGCATGACAGTTTCTTAGGATCTAAATGCCACCTATAATACATTTTATAAAAAATTTCCCTCAAGTTCTGTGACTGCGTAAATTTAACATTCTGAACCCATATTTTTTCTCACGTTTCCATCATAACTGGTTCTGCAAAATTTTGCGCCCATTTTATCATACAATCTTTAACCAGTTCATTTTCTGAGTCTCTTTCTAACAAAACATTATAAACCCTCTTGATATGCATTGGGCCTTTCTCTTTTATCTGTCTAACCAATTCTTCTTCATGCAACATTAAATCAGTTTTTTGATCTTCTCTCCATCTCAGTTGAAGTTGATTATACTGTAACCAAGTTAAATTAATCCCTTCTTCCAACAGTGTATTCAATGTCTTTAGTTGCCATCTGCCCCATCATTAAAAAGTACTTCTTTGTATAAACCCCCCCCCCCGAGTGACTTTATATTTATATTCCATATGATATAACTAAGATCCAACCACAACGGTATTTTATAATCCCATTTGAACCGGTGCTTCTTCCATACTCTCATCAAGGAGTTTCTAAGCATATGGCTATTGAATACTTTATCCACTTTATTTTCGTAGAATAAATATGCATGCCCACCAAATTCAAGATCATAACTCTCTATATTCAATATTCCAGTCTTTGTCCTTCCAAACCAATCGCTTGCTTGTGTCAACGCTGCTGCTTCATAGTACAGTCGAAGTTTAAGACCACCCCTTTCACGAACATCTTGCATAATTTTCAATTTCACTCTTGGCTTTTTCTCATTCCAAACAAACTTATTCATTCCTTTTTGCCATTCCATCAACTGTTTATCACTTTTAAGCACCAGAATCATTTGAAACAAAAATAAAAATCTAGGTAGAACATTCATTTTAACTGCTGCTATTCTTCCAAGTAAAGACAGCTGCAGTTTTTTTCAAGTGTCCATATCCTTTTGTACCTTTCGCCACAACACCTCATAATTGTTTTGGAACAGTTTTATATTTGAATCTGCAACTTGAACTCCTAGATATTTCACCTTTGATACTATTTCAAAGCCTGCCTTCCTTTCAAGTTCTTTCTTTTGATCAACTGTCATATTTTTAACTATAATCTTGGTTTTTTTCTGATTCAGTCTAAATCCTGATACCATACCATATTCTTCTATAATATCTTTCATCTGAATTATTGATTCCATCGGCCGTGTTAGGGTAACAACCAAATCATCTGCAACTGCCCTTGTTCTGTGGTCCTCTTGCCTTATAACTATTCCATTCAAAGTACTAGAGTCCCGTATTGTATTCAACAAGACTTCTAGAGTTAGAATAAACAACAACAGACAACCTTGTCTTGTGCCTTTTTCTATACTGAAGTTTGTAGTTAAGCTTCCATTAATGATAATTTGTGCCGTTTGCTCTTGATAAATTGCTGAAACCGCCCACACAAACTGCTCCCAAAGTCCATCTTTCTTAAAGTCTTTAATAGAAAGTTCCAGTTCACTCGATCAAAGGCCTTCCAGAAACACCTGCACTGCAGAGGTCTGTTTATTCTTCTCAAGATATTCCAATAAATCGATAATTTGGCTCACATTGTCCTTCATGTATCTGCCTTCTATAAATCCTGCTTGATCATGATGAATCATCTCTTGAATAACTGGCATTAATCTGTTGGCTAATACTTTTGCAAAAAATTTATAATCTGTATTCAGGAGAGATATTGGTCTAAAATTCTCTGGTTTTGTAGAACCTGCTTCCTCTTTCAGTATCAAAGAAACAAAAGCTGCTTTCCATGAAGGGGGTATTTTACCCCCTTGTTGTATGCTACAAAATAAGTCTTTAAGATATTCAATCATTTCTACTTGTAAAGTTTTATAATACACTGCAGTTAAGCCATCCGTTCCTGGAGCTTTAGCTGTTTTGAGTTGTTTAATAGCAGCAATAATCTCCTCGGCTGTTATTGGTAAACTCGTTCTTTCCTTTTGATCGCTAGAAATTTTCATAACTCTCCTTTCATCTAGATATTTATTTATAAGTTCATTCTGTATATCATCTTTGGCATACAATTTAATATAATAATCCAAGAAGGCTTCTTTAATTAGTCTTTGTTGAAAAACTTCCTTCCCTCCATACTCAATACTACCAATAGTCCGAGTACTCTGTTGTTTTCTCAGTATGTAAGCTAACCACCTGCCCAGCTTATTAGCATTGCAAAAAGTATTATGTTTCGCAAATTGTAAATTAGTTGCTGCTTGTTCCACTGTAAGCATTTGAAATTGGTCTTTCAAAAGTTTTATAATTCCTTGTAATTTTTCATCTGTTGGATTTTTTATAAGCATCTGTTCTTTTTTCTTTATCTCTCCTTCCAATTCTAATCTTTTTCTTTGTTTATTTGATTTATGTTTAGAGTTCATATAGATCAGTACCCCCCGCATATACGCCTTACTCACATCCCAAACAATTTCAATAGGGGTACCCTTATTCACGTTCATTTCAAAAAATTCCTTCATTTGTTTTTTAAGTTCATTTACATTCTTTTCATATCTAAACAAGTTTTCATTTACTCTCCATGATCTTCTCTCATTCTTTCCCATTTCTATTTCTATCCATACCGGGCTATGGTCAGTTAAAGTCCTCGGAAATATCTTTGTTTTCTTTGTTTTTAAAAGTAAATCAGCCATAAGTAGAATAAAATCAATCCTAGAGAAGGATCTATGTCTATCTGAAAAAAAAGTAAAGTCCAATTCTTTTGGGTTATGCATTCTCCATATATCTTTCAATTCCAAATCTTCTTTCATATCAAAAAATATCTGTGGTAATTTAACACATAACTTTGCCAAACTCTTTTTATCTTTTTGGGGATCTATTACTCCATTCCAATCTCCCATAAGTAAAATAGATCTGAAGTCCCACTGTAATATTTTAGAATACAATATTTTATAAAAATTTTCTTGTTGCTGATTAGGGGCATAAATTCCAATCACCAAAATTGGACCATTGTCTGTAGAGAGTTCAATTGCTATATATCTTCCACAATCATCTGCTTCTAAAATTTTTGCTGGCAGTCTTTTATTTATATAAATCACTACACCATTCTTTTTCTCCGAATTTGAAGCTATAAACTGTGCTCCTAATCTAGAATTTATCAA